TTTTTCATTTTGTGGGAGTTGAATAAAATGATAGTAAAATTATTAGTTAATGTGTTGCTTTTTTTTGTCTTTTCTAATGCATCTTTGAACATAAAGTTGTACTGTGGTCATACAAGTGCTACTATACATCATCACAGGTTTGTGTAAATACTGTTCAGTTGGAAGAGCTGGTTGGCATTTTCAAAATCTGCTCACAAACCGATCGTTTTAAAACAACTTTACAAACTGAACTCGTTACATAAACTCATCCATTTGGAGTTAAAACAGTCATACACTTTAACTTGTGATGACAAACGTTTGCCCCGTACTGTGGTCTTCTACAGAAACTCAACGTGCTCAGTGATGAAGTTCAAACTGTATTGAAAGAGGCTTTTAAAGTGATGTAATGACGTGGCTCTGTCGTTGCTCTCACACCACGTCAAAATAAACTGCTTCTTGTCTGGTTCAACATAAAAACTATTGATCATTAAAACTGTTGATTTTTAAATAAAGAAATCAGGATTTTTCCATCAAACCATCAGGCGGCTGAGGAGGGGAAAGCAGCACTTTACTAACGTGTTCAGTGAGGGTGGGGTGCTGTTGACCTCAACCAGTGATTTCGTCGGGAAGTGGAAGGAATACTTCTTGGACCTTTTCAATCCCACTGGCACATCTTCCATGGAGGAAGCTGAGTCAGGGAATTTGGGGGTTGGTCTGTCCATAATCGTGGCTGAGGTCGCCGAGGTAGTTAAAAAGCTTTGTGGCGACAGGGTTTTGGGAGTGGATGAGATTCACCCTGATTTCCTTAAGGCTCTGGATGTTGTTGGGCTGTCTTGGTTGACACGCCTTTGCAACGTCACGTGGACATCAGGGGCAGTGCCACTGGATTGGCAGACTGGGGTCTCTTCAAAAAGGGGGATCGGAGGGTGTGCTCCAATTACAGGGGCATCACTCTCCTTAACCTCTCTGGTAACGTCTATTCAGGGGTACTGGAGAAGCGAGTCCGATCGATGGTCGAATCTCAGATCCAGGAGGAACAATGTGGGTTCTATCCCGGCCGTGGAACACTGGGTCAGCTCTTTACCCTCACTAGGGTCCTTGAGGGGTCATGGGAGTTTGCCCATTCAGTCTACATGTATTTTGTGGACTTGGAGAAGGCTTACGATCGTGTTTGATTCACATTGCCTGTAGTAATTGGACCCCTTCAGGGTGGGAGTTGGACTTCACCAGGGCTGCCCATTGTCACATATTCTGTTCATAATGTTTATGGACAGAATTTTTCGGTGCAACCAGAGGGCAGAGGGATTCCAGTTTGGTGGCCTCAGGATTCCATCTCTGCTCTTTGCAGATGATGTGGTCCTGTTGGCTTCATCGTGCCATGATCTCCAGCTCTCACTGGTGTAGTGAACTAGACCTCCGACATCAATCTGTCTCTGAAGACATTCAGGGGACAGGAACTGTTCTTTCATTGATTTGAATGCAGAAATACAAATTATCTCTAATATTATAGACTATTTAATTGTATCCTGAATTAATCAATTGAAAGAACACTCTTCTTTTTTATATTATCATTGCTATTTTAGGATATCTTGATAATCAAAAGTGTGTTTAGTTCATACCATTTCTAAATGTTTAAGTAAACCACTTATTAAATCAACTGTGAAACTGTATTAATGATTTTTAAAACTCATTAGACTTGGATCATACAGTTAAATGTCTATTTACGAAGTAAGTGTACATTCACTCTTCTGTCTGTGTGAGGAGTGGACCTGATGTCGGTCGAAAGTCAGAGACAAGTTATGAGAACGAAATGTCTTGTTTTTAAAACTCTCAGACAGTAAATAAGAACTAGCTGGCACCTGCTGTCTCACTTCTTCAAACATTTCTCTGTCTGTACTAACCGTTCTTAAAACATTTCTGCTGTCTACTGACTCCTAATAACCCTCTGACATCACTAAAACTACACCCCTGCTGGTTGTTTCAACCAATAAGGAAGTACCACGTAACAGGAAGTGGATACCCTTTAAAAGGCAACACTTCTTGGAACTATTCAGTCTTCCAGTCTTTTCCAGTCTTTTCCAGTCTTCCGAGGCTTTCCAATCTTACTGGAACTTTCAGTCGAAGATGAGACTCAGTCTGATGGAGTCTTACAGCTGAACTAAGTAGCTGATGGATTTGACCATTTGCCAAGGGTCCGTCCATTCCAGCGTAGTCACAGCCTGCCTCGGCTGTGACTCAACCTGAGCAATAAATGCTCAACTTCTAAGGAAGTTTATTCTGTTGAACTGAGTACTTCGTCACGACTTCTGACGACCCCAGCCACTCTGACCGGAGACGCTGAAAAGGGAACGTGCCAATGGACATCTGTCAAGAGGAGCCAGTTGAGGTGGTTTCTGGCATCTGGTAAGGATGCTCACTGGACGTCTCTCTAGGGAGGTGCTTCAGGCTTGTCTGACTGGGAGGAGACCCTGGGGAAGACCCAAGTCACGCTGGAGAGACTATATGTCTCTCAGTTGGCCTGGGAATGCCTTGGAATCATCCCAGAAGAGCTGGAAGAGGTGGCTGTGGAAAATAATGTCTGGGCCTCCCTGCTCAAGCTGCTGCCCCCGCGACCCGTCTTTGAAATAAGCGGAATATAATGGATGGATGGATGGATGGATGGATGGATGGATGGATGGATGGATGGATGGATGGAAGTTTCCATCATTAGCTAATGCAAAATACCAACTAAAAATGCATTTCTGTGGGAATTATAAATCCATCCATCCATTCATCCATCTAAGTATTTAAATACTATTGCCTAAAATTTGAAGAGTCGCAAAAGCCTGTAAAGTTGGAGTATTATATACAAACAACATCAAAACATTTTGCAACAGGTTCCGTAAAACTTAAATTATTAGTCATACAGCAAGTGAAGCTGAAATGTTTAGATGTAATTTAAAGACCACATCTGTCATCCAAAAATATCCATGAGTTGATGACTATATTCAGATTATTCAGATTTATTTTTGATGAATAAATGTAAAATATTCTTGATTCTTTTTTATTTATTTTTCTGTATTAATGTTGTTGTGTCCTTCAAGGTAAACAAAGATAAACGATCTTGCCTGTTGTCAGTACACATTTTAACAAAAGCCAGCACTTATCTAGAAGCATTAATGTCATGAGCACAGTTGAATGACTCATCATAACTGACAGGTCACATAAAAAAATATAAGCATATTTGCCCAATAAACAAAATCTTTTGTATTAGTAAATGTTAATTAATATTTTGTCGCATTTATAATTGAGCAAAACACTTTTACATTGCCTGATGTCTTTTTAATTGTACAATAATTAATTCTTCATATATGCTGACTAAAAAGAGCTGTCATTTTTTTTTCCACTTTGCAGTATTCACTGTTTCTTTGTGTGAATAAAACTCTTTCGTCTTAGAGCTCTGACCTCAATAGCAAAATCTTCTCTCCTTCCCCCTCAGCTAAGAGCTCAGTGTTCTCAGGTGCTTGAATCCCTTTAGTTTTCCTCCAAAGGGGATTTAAAGAGCATGAATATGGATATGATGATGATGAACTCGATGAAGGTAGTTTGTTTTCTCTTCAGATAAGAGCTAATCGCATTTGGAAACTGTAGCCGTAGAGCTATAGGTGTAAACTTGGCCAGCAGCGTTATCTAGATGGTGGATTGTCGGGCATGAAGAAAGGTGTGTGCATGTGTGCGAGTTGTGTTTGTTGGTGTGTTAGGCCATCATTCAGTGCAGCCTTGAATTATTTACCCTGAAAGGGAACAGATCTTCATAGGGGGCTGGTGGGATGGAGGATGTTATCTGCTCACGTATAATCCCAAACTATGATTGATCTTTTGACTTCTCCCTCATCTCTCTTTTCTTTCTGTCCCCTCTCCCTTCTTTTCATCCTCCGCCTCCAATCATCCCAGTTTTTTCTTTTTAAACTGCATATTGCTTTGTGCAAATGAGGTAGCTGGATGAGGGGGTTATAATTAGCCCAGATAGTCTTATTCATATTCAAATTTTATATCTAATCTCACCAAGGACTTCTAAAAAGGAATAAGGATTGGCTTGCCCATCTCCATCAGAGGATTTGATAGGTCACATTCCCAAGGAACAGAGTAAACCAAATATCATTCAGTATGTTTAATTCAAAACTGTTCTCATATGAAAAACATCCCCGATCGTCTGTGCACTGCTTACTGTATATTTGTCACATTTGAATGTGAAAGTGTTTCATAGTGGTTTAAGTAATTGCAGGAGTACATAGAATTACGGTGTTTACACTAGAGGTGAATCTCAAAATAATTAGAATATCATGAAAATGGTTAATTTTTTTCAATCATTTCAGAAAGTGGAACTCATATATTACATAGTCAGAACACATAGAGTGAGAAAATTCAAGCTTTTATTTATGTATTTATTTATTTATTTATTTATGTATGTATTTATTTATTTATTTTTGTAATTTTGATGATAATGGCATACAAATAAAATAAAATAAAAAATCAGTGTCTGATTTCTAACTTTCTGTGATGCACCTGTATTTTTTTATTTTTATTTTTTACAAGAATTTCTGAGATAAACTAGGTTTCAACAAGGTTTGGGATGTTTTTTTTATTTTTAGTTATGTTTTATTATGGTAAGTACTTTTTGTGCTATAATAAACAGCCATCGCAGCATTTTCTATTTATAAGAATGTTCTTTCCTGGTTGGATCTTCTGAGTCAATGATGCACAAACTTTTCACACAACATAAAAGTTGCAAAGAATTCTGAGCCTAATTATGTCTGATTAAAGTATATAAACATTGCTAAAAAGGAGCCTCTACAACTAATATTAAACATTTATATGTACAGTATATATTAATGTTTTCTGTTTGTGACTTCAGGACCTGGACTCCTGGGCTGATTTTTTTTTCATTGCAAACCAAGTTTAGCTCATATTCATTAGCTTACCTAACGTTGGACATAATTTGTGAAGCTAACTATTTAATTTATTTTTCTCCATCTCCACAGGCTTTAACTTCCCTGGAGGGTTGCTCTTGATATGAAATGAGCTAAACAAAACATAATAGGATGAGACTATCACTTCCAGGTAATTATTCTGTATATGGCATGACTTTTTATTGTAGATTTTTAAATTTGTTGTCACAGTCTTACTGTAATGATTTTTTATTCAGTTTTTCTTACAAACAAACCTATATGTTAGTCAAATAAAAATAAAAAAAACAAATCAGATGAAGATCAGAAAATAAATCCAAAACGACTCCAGCGGACCAAAAAATTTAAATAATTCAACTTTGTTGCCTTTCTAACTTTTATGACACAGTAAATAATTAATGGCTTAAAAAGGTACCTTTGAATAATCATTGCAGTACATTATGATTTAATAAAAATTTCAAACTACAGTTATCATGACTGGATATCATATATAAAAATAAAAATACCTCAATGTCGATTTTATCCAAAATGATTTCTCTTTTTACTTGTTTTGCTAAGGAATGGCCCGACTCCCTGCTAAGGCAAGTGTTGTGTCACAAGGAAGCAGTGAAGCTTATATAAATATATATAAAACATCTCTGCTCCTCTCACCTCAGGGTGTGTGGTGCATCCATTGCGTATGGCCTACATGCTCGCTCAAGCATAAGTTGATGTAGCCTCTCCCTCCCTGGCACAGCAACTCAGAGTTTGTCATTTATCTCAGATGAGGTTTTATAATCTGCTGGAAGAAAATTTAATGTGTTGGGACTGAATAATATACGTTATACATACAAAGTACAAATACCATGAGATATTTGTATTGCAAACACAAGTATTAGCTGCTGTCTTTAAAAAAATCAAGAGGAAGGGTTTAAATGTGTTAAAAGGCTTTGAATTGATTTAAAATAGGTAGCACTTTGACAAAGACAGCTTTAAGTAAGAGTTTTTATTTAACACATGAGCAAATAAAAAAAGAAAGGAGAGAAGAATAGTACAGAAGTGGGCACAAGACATTAATCATTTCTTGAAAAGACAAGTTATCTTGTACAATTATTTTGTAAATACAGCAAATTAATTAATCTGATTCTAATTCTATTACTTGAGTTGATGGAGCAAACTAAATAATAATAAAGAACACCTGCTGAAGAAAGTCTAATCTTTTTCTGACAGTGTTTTAAATGGTTAATGTTTTATTGATGAATCTGCTCCAGACTTGAGTCGCTGCTGATTCTCACATGCACAGCACAGCAAGAGATTCTTCATGTGAGGCTTTCTCTCACCGCTCAAAATATTCTGGAGCAGTCCCTGGGTAGAGTCCACAGGAGGGAGAACAGGATGCAAAAAAAGTTTCCTGAGTAAATTACAGCATTCCTTTATTGACTGTACAAGAACACTGGATCAGTAGTCCTCTGTATAAATCTGTTTAACTGGTTGTTCAGGTTATTTGTTACAGCAGCTAAATCTCTTCCTACTGCTCATGTTGGTCACATCATTTGTTACATTGTTTTTAGGTGATACCTGGAGAAAACCAGTACAAATGAAACTACCTGCAGCTCTGGAAAACAAAGCACAAAGGTGATTACAGCAGCTATAATTAGACGCCGAGTGGCAAGATTTGTTCTAAAATAACTCTCGAGTTGTGCACATGAGAAAATGTTTGTATAACATCAAATTAATGCTGCACATTTCAAAATGTTAGTTTAATTCAAAAAAAAATTTTAAACAACTTTTAGATCATCTGTCACAAAAAGAGGGGGCAAATATTAATACAAACATGATTTTAACTTTTTAAATTATTCAACTACACATTCTGCATATTTATTTCTAATCAGATGACTTTTTTTTTTAATTTACTGAGCCACTGATATGCATAAAGGTGACTAACAAAACATACATTCAGAAAGGATTTAAGGTACCAATAAGGCTCCCCTTACAGATGGTTAATAAACAGTTTGTAGATGTGTTATTAATTCCTCTATAAACACTTTATAAATCATCAATAACTGCTTATTGTACATTAAGGGTGAGAAAGAGACAAAATTGACCAGTTTCTTGTCAAATAGTGAGCCAATTCTGTTCACCTATATATTTCATCTAGAGTTGTTATATTAAACCTTTCAGACTAAGTTACTACCTTGTAAGCGCAATAAGCATTTGTAAACCTATTTTTTGGGATTGTTTTTCATTCAACCTTTATTTTTTTAAGGATATAATATTAGTTGTAGATACTTATAATGTAGTGATAAAGTACAATATTATATTCTAAAGAAATAGGTTTACAAATACTCATTGTTCTTACAAGGTAGTAATTTAGTCTGAAATGTTTAATATAACAACTGTAGATGAAAGTGAACAGATTTGGCTATTTGCGTAGAAAATGGTCAGTCATCCTTAATTAATGCACAGTAAGCAGTTATTAATGATTTATAACGTGTTTATAGTGGAATTAATAATATATATATATATATATATATATATATATATAAACTATTTTTTAGCCATATATAAGGGGTGCCTTATTATAAAATGGTACTGGTTTGGCATTTGGATCCACCCTAATTTTTAATAAATCAAGTCATGCTAATACACACATTTTAATATTAGAGAAACAGTAAATATTAAATCAGTTTAAAAACAGTGACCACGCACAGCAGAGCAGGACAAACAGTGGTGACCAGTGCTACGACACTAAATAAGTGATAGCTGTTCGCTTTTGATGTGTAAAAGAACATAATAGCGTGTGACTGTGTTTTGCTGGATGGTGCACACTGAGTTGGCAAACAGAAACAACTGAGTGTGTGAGAGCAACATGACATGTAACAGACACAGAATCAAATAGACAAGCCGATCGAGTAACATGCACTCAGAGTAAATCAGAGACTATCAGGTGTAGAGCGGTTTTTATTTATCCAAATAATTTGCGTTGGGGGTAGAATACTGGAAAGTCCTAACGGACAGGAGCCACCTCATGTCGTGACTGATGCCAGTTTAAATTTGCCCACTGAGTGACAGCGCTGACATTTCATGGTTGGGAGGCGTTCATTCTGAGTGCTTTGTCTCAAGCTTGACCTGCGTCCTTCCCCTTTAAGGTGTTTGAACATGTTTGTTGATCTTTCATGTGGCTCTTGATGTTGGACATTTTCTCTTGCTTTCAGGTTCTTGGATTTTATTTGTGGAAAAGGTTGAACATGATATGCAGCTGAAGGACTGCATGTCAGATGAAGGCAGTAGTTTGAAATGATTCTTGATTTGAGTCCCAGTTAAAGCCTTGATGGATGTAGCATGGCACATTGCTTCCTGGCTGACGCTGCTTCTAAAACCATGAATATATGTTTGTAAGTTGATGGATAGCTGCCGTGTCAGTCGCTACCCAAACAAAGATGCTGCTGTTCTGCAAATGCAAGATCGTGAACACTTTGGCCATATATATTTACAACATCTGCAAGGGCTTGTCTCTGGCAAAATCATATAAAGTAACTTAAATGTTGAAATTATAACTCTGACTGCAAATCTCCTTTTCAGGTTCAAACTGCAACTCACCAAGAGCATTATCAGACTGCTGACCACCTAAGTTACATACTTAGGTGATCAGTAATTGTACTTTATACTTTCTTTATGATTTTTGCGACTTCAAGCTAGACAGTTTATAAGTTTAGCTGTGTTTTAGATTGGATGTTTTCTCTGACTATGTGTATGGTAGCATGAGGTGCCAAATGTACCACTTCCTACTAAAATTCTACTACTAATGGCTTCTGTGTTGTGCATATCAGAAAAAAAGCCTAAACTGTGAAAATTAATTGAAAAATAAATTGTCTACCTAATTTTTCAAAGTATTTAATAACTTATTTTGAGAAGCCATTAAATGCTCTTGGACAATGCAGAATGGAAATCACAGGAGTGTCTATCATGTCAGCTAAAGTGACTGCAGCATGTTGTATTTGACTAATCAGCATCTAATACTAAAGGTTCTGGGTCAGACTGAGTTATACAGTTAATGACAGATACCCTTTTCAATTTCTGGACACTTCTGTTGGGTCAAATTGATGTAGCATTTTAGAACGTTGTTATAAAACTAATAGTGGTTGTATCAAAATATATTTTCTGAATATTTCAGGATATTTTACTTGAATCTTAATGTGTGCTCCAAAACTCCAAATACTGTTAACAAAAGATCAAGTTCAAGGTTCTTTATCGTCATTCACATCACATGTGGTACATGAGGTGGAACAAAATTGTATACTCAAGATTAAACAGCAGCCTGGACATGAGTCTGCAGTGAGCAGATGTGTATGAATACGGCAGCATAAAGGCAGACATCAGCAGCATGAATAATCAGCAGTATAGTCGGTATAAGTCACATATCACCTATTAAAGTGGCATTACAGTGACTTTTCTTCCTTTTTTTTTCTTACAGTGATTATCCTGGTTAGTGATTTATGAGTCTAACAGCTTCAGGGTAGAAGATGTTCCTCAGTCTAGTGGTTCTACACCTAATGCTCCACAACTTCCTGCCTGAGGGGAGCGAGGAAAAAGTGTGTGTGCTGGGTGAGTGGGGTCCTTCATGATGCAGATGACTCTCTTCCTGCATCTGGAGGTGTAGATGTCTGTGATGGTGGGAGGCTGACTCCAACATTCTTTTGTGCAGCCTTCACCACTCTCTGCAAAGCTTTTCTTTCTGCAGCTGTGCAGCCTCCATGCCACACGTTGATGCTGGAGCACAGGATTCTCTCCACTGCACACCTGTAGAAGGAGGTGAGGACTGAGCTTCCAAGTCCAGTTCGCCTCAGCTGCCTGAGGAAGTAGAGGTGCTGATGTGCACAATAATTCAACACAGAGTTAGATGAGACAGCACTTTTGTTGCTTAAATTTAACACAAAATCTAATTGACATGTTTTTATTTTTAAAATCTGCAATCTATTTTGTTATCAACACATCTGTGATTTGTGCTTTAGACTTCCTGATTAAGCATTTGTTTTCAATGAGCTAGTCAAACTTTCTGTAAAAGAATCAGAAGATAATTGAACACTGCCAATTATTTTGACACATCATGCAGGTATATTACTAGAAAGGGTTGCTTGTACCTCTGTTTCCTATGAAAAAAGTACAAATCTATATCTACACTATTCTGGTCATTATTGTGTTCTTGACTTACAGAGGAAAGGGGTTGCATGGAGTAGTGAGAAATAACCTGGAAGTATCATGTAATTCCATTTTAGATATTAATCTAAGATTTTTTTTAAACATGCATGCAGTCAACATGGAGTGCAGTGACATCAAAGTGGCATCTATTTTGTATAGGTTTTAAAAAGTTCAGAGCTAATACTCCATCTGCAGAGATGGCACATTTAACTACAGTGATTTCAAGCCTTCACTCAAATGTCTGAGGGTAAGTCTCATCAAACAGTCTAATGCCAAAAATAATTAATCAGCTTTTCTGCTCGAATGCAAAATTCTCCTTCAGTCTCCAGAGATAAAACTATTTTTGTCAGATATTCTGCGTGTTTGTCGATGTCAACAAATTTAAATTTGAAATGCATTAAAATACAGAGAAAGTGCACTGATGTTAATTTATGTCAGCTTAAACCTAAACTTTATTAAACTTTGAATTCATGGTAGATTTATGAACATGTACAGCTTTAAACTCCATGCTTGTACTATGCATTGACACAATATAATAAACTGATTGCACACGAGCATTGCAGGAGATTTTAACAGAGCTGAGTGTTATATTTGAGATTTTGTGTGCTTTTTTTATCACACATCTGAGCAGTGTCTGGGTCCTGCAGGAGACCTAATGGAGTGTGTCTTTTTCAGGCTTTGGGATTTGACTCCCTGCTGTTGCTGCAGTGAGGGAAGAGCAGAGGAGCAACCAGTCGAGCAAAGACAGCCGCCACCTCACACCGGGTGATGACTGAACTAACTCCATCATGCAGTCTAATAACACACCATCGGGGGATCTTGATGCTGAGCTTGCAGACCAGTGGCAATACAAATGCTATGTTGTGTCCAGAATCGTTTTCCATTCTTATCTAAAAAACTAGTGTCATATTTCCTTGCTTTTGACTAGGTATGTTCAGAGTGAAGTTCATTCCTGTTTTATCTGAACTTTTTATGAACAGTTAAAAAATATATATCTGAGTGAGACTGCTATTGTGGCTTTAGTTGAAAAAAATGCAATTAACAACTTGTATTTTTGTATTAGTCTGCAATGCAAAGACAAGTCATGGGATGCTGACCTTCAGAAATGAATGAATGTGCAAAAAAAATAAAGATTTTCATGTAAAAAAAAAAATAAAATATGCCTTTCAAAAAATAACACACACAAAATAAAAATCTGGGCTCTTTGTGCAGGTCAAATGCAAAATATCAAGTTGTTTGCATACAGTAGGTTCAAGGGTCAAGGTTCTTTATTGTCATTTGCATCACATGTGGTACATGAGGTGGAATGAAATTGTGTACCCAAGGTCCCAGTTACATACACTCAAAAATAGCAAAAATATAAAGTATAAAAGAAACAGTATATAAGGATCTAAGATATACACTAAGATATACACTAAGATATATGCTAAACGATATGCTAAACGATATGCTAAACGATATGCTAAGAGATCTAAGATATGCATTAAACACTAACAATGTAAAATAATAAGGTATATTAAACAGCAGCCCAGACATGCAATACATAGCATAAAACAGCAATAAACCTCTAAAATATTTACAGATAGGGCACAATTGAACCACCTGGTTAACATTTGCAAAGATCCACTTTTACCTACAAAGACAACCCCTGAAAAGGCCTTTGTGTGGGGCCAGTATTCCTCCATCCGGCAAAGGAATGTTACCACAAGTCCTTTTGAGTTTGTGGGTGGCAAGTCAGGGCTCTGTAAAAAGATGCTTGCTTGATAATGTTATCTGAGATGACTGGTGGTTGGAACTAGATATTTTTTATTTTATTATTTTGTGGTGAAGAGCTGTTTTGAACTGTTTTCACATGTTTTTTGTGGCACTGTCTTTGTGAGGAAGCTGCTGCTTTAACAAATCTTTATTAAGATGGGTTTGACATTCAGGATGTTTAGGTGGGGACGTCTAGTGAACATGGATGTGATTACTAGGACCCAAGCTGAGAAATAATCTCAAATGATTTAAAGGATCACTTCAATCAACCATTTTCCTAAAGTTATGTTGGCTGTAATTGGACCAATGGTCTCCATTTAAACATTATGGCTGAGGACGGTCAATAGTTAGAAATAGCTAGACATTTTGGCAGCAGACTTTTATAACTATACTAAAACATCAAATAAATTCCTTCCATACTGTGGTTAGCCTTGGCCACAAAAAAAATGTATGGAATATATTTATAGTCTGAGCCTTGCATTCAAGTTGTGTGTCTGTTCCATCTTTCCAAATGTTTAATTAAAATGTGTTCCCATGTTAAGATATTTATGGTACGGTTTCTACACATGAAAACTCCATTAAAGCAGCTTGATGAGAAACAGCACGATACCACCTGGGGGTATTAACGTTCTGAAATAAACTGAAGTGCATTATGTGGAAACTTACAATAATTTCTAACAAAACCACTTAATTACCATCTGAAAGAACAAAGCTGATTTTATGCAACTGGTTTTGAAAGGCTAAAAGAGTTGAGAGAACATAACCTGTTCACTAAAATTGTGAAAAACTGGTGTAACTCATTCATGTTAAAAGTCAACAAGGCCCAGAGGAAAGGGGTTAAGGAATACATTTGGACATGGACATAGGCCGTCGTCCATGAGGTGAAGAAGCTCTTGTCTCTTCAGGGGGGGGGCTGCTGTTGCCTGTTCTTTGTGGGTAGCATAGTAGTGACTCACACAGACAGTAGTAATTAAAGCCAGCTTTTCAATTTGGAATAGCAGAAAGATTTAATACGGATGTGTACATTCTTTAAAACCCCATTCCCCTACGCCCCCTTGAGCGCACGCAACCACACAAAGCATGGATATCTTCTGCGACACGCACGCCTTAAACCGATACATGCGCGCAAGATGAAAGCGTCAGAAAATCTCTATAATGAACTGAACAACTAGGACACTGCTCATTAGAGATGCATTTGTGTACATGAGGAATAGGCAATTTATTATTTTTAGTCGCACAAATTCTGGTGCGAGTCGGAGGAATCAGAGATATTTTAATGTCTTCAGCCCAGAAAATCTGTTTAGCAGTTAGGATGGGAGCACGCCCAAATGAGTTCATATATGCTTTAAATGGCCCCTCCTGTATTAATGTTTTCCATTGCTGTGGCATGCGATGATAAAACACATTTCAAATGTGTTACTTCAAGCATGCGAATCACTGTGTGAAGTATTAGCACTGCAGCAAAGGGGACGGTGCAATCAGATTAAACTGTTGGTTTGTTTGGATCTAATTCACGTCAAGCACTGTGCAGTATTTGTTCATGTCAGCCACAAGCAAATAAAAAAAGAGGCGTCTAAACAAATGTGCGAGCAAATCAAGCAGTTCAGCCATACTCCACAAATCTCTTATAACTCTATTTGTTCTCTTTGCTACCACCTTCCAGCTGCTCAGCTCAAAAACCATCACAGTTCGAAAATTACACTGTAGCCTGGCTGCCTAAGGATTCGATTAATCAACACTTCCTGGAGTTTAGGGCATAGTTAACCAGCTCCTTTGTGCTCCCAAGCACTCGTTGCTTTTGTCATCAGTACGCCTCACTTCCCCTTCACAAGGAGAGGAGCGGCCAAGACAACAGAAAGCTCCCAGGCCTCGTCAAACACACAATTAGAGTCATGTTAACCCGGCATTGTTTCTTTTTCTTCTTGACTGGGGTTTTTGAAGAGTAGTAAACTGAAGACCTCTTTGTAAAAAAAAAAAAAGAAAAACTCAACATGTTTAGAGCCCTATTGTCCCTCTCTGGGCTGGGGTGTTGCCTTTAACAAGACTGTTACAAGCCTTCTTCTGTAATTATGAACTTGTGTTTGTTCGCATGGGTCTGAAAGATGAATCTGTTCAGGATGTAACTCAGGTCTCGTTTAGCTGTACGATGGAAATCAATCGCAGGTTTAATGAACTTATATCATGTGCATTTTAGCTTATTTAAAATACTTATTCATACAAATTCAACCTGCTAGCACAATTAAAATTCTACCATGTTCCTGTTTACTATTTCCTCTTTAGGACCTTGTAAATATTATATTTACTTTTTCACTTTTTGGTACTTTATTTTGTACACTTATTGCATGCTTTAGTATTTCTTGTTTATTTGTTCTTTGTTTTTTAGCGAGTCAAATCTTTTCTTCTCATCGTGAGCGTTTCATTGTACTCTTAACCTGTATATGACAAATAAACACGACTTGAACATGAACTTTAAATTAATTTGAAATAAGTTGCTCAGCATCTGTTCATGAAGCTAAGATTAGATATACTGAAAATGTTAAGATATGAGAAGAGTACATTTTAATTGTCTTGTTTTCTGTGGAGGGCTTAACTGCAGTACTGTGGTTAGCACTAACACCACACAGTAAAAAGGTTGCAGAATCACTTCCTGTCCTGGGGCCATTCTGTATAGAGTATGCATGCTCTCTCTGTGCATTTACTCCGGTTTCTTCCTACAGACCAAAAACGTGCATGTTAGATTATTTAGTGAATCTAATTTGTCCCTATGTGTGAGTGAGTGTGAATGGTTGCTTGTCTTGTTTGTCTCTGTGTCCTCATGAAGGATTTGTGAACTGTCCAGGGTGCACCTCGCCTCTCTCACAGTGACTGCTGGTGAAAGTTGCCTGCTCCCCTGCAACCTGGGGGGGGGGGGGGGGTGTGTTGGAAGGCGAGTAAAGAACATAAGAGAATTATCTGATCAAGTTACTTTGAACAGGTCGATTGTGGGCAAAGGTGCACTAGATAGAGATGAAAGACGTTTGATTGTCTTAGTAAATATAATGTCTGCATACCATAAATATAGTTTAATCCAATTGAAAACTACATTTTTTATGATTGAGTCTATTAACAATTAATTATTAGGTAACGTTAAAAAAACACATTTAACACATTTCCACACTGTTAGGCCCCAAAAGGAACAAACGATCTCTGTGGGTTAGAACAACAATGTATATACAATTGACTCAATTTATTTATTAATGTTGGTTGTGAACATAATTGGATAGTTTAAATTATTTCTAAAATTCTTGTTACATAGACCAACGTTAGGAGTAAACTAATTATTTTTGTTTGTCTCATAAAGATCAGTTTTTATTCCTTCAGTCTGATACATAAAAA